ATTTCTACAAGAGACAGTAGGGTGGTGTGCGTTCATCAGAAAGATCACACCTCCCCCAGTGGGGCATGATCACTCCATTTCCACATCCTATCACAATTTGGGGCACACAAGGTTGGAATGTTTGCTAAGTCAGTAGGGCCAATATTTAAACCAGTCAGTCATGTGAGACCTGACTTCTTTAACCATGATGCTATGGGTTCAATTCTCTTTTTACAAGTCTTTTACTTAAAAGTCTATTATATCTGATATAACAAATCCTGCTTACTTTTGGTATCCATTTCCATAAAACACTTTTCATTCTTTCACTTTCTGTTAATAAGTGATTACTATTGAAGTAAGATTTGTATGAAGTATACAGTTTGTCTTGTATTTTTAAATCTATTCCACAAGAATGTATCTAACCTATTCCTATCATTTCATATTTTCTAATTTTGTACTTCACTTATTCCTTAGTGTTTATCTTTGTGATTTGATGATTTTTTCTCTACAGTTAAGGATTTTCTTTCTCACTTGTGTATATTCCCAGTGAGCTTGATACTTTCATGTGCTTCATTTGTGATGGTAGTTATCCTTTAGCTTCCAGATGTAGCACTCCCTTAAGCATTTCTTGTAAAGCTGGTTTTATGGGGACAAATTCCCTCAGTTTTTGCTTGTCTGGGAAAGATGTTATTTTTCCTTCACTTCTGAAGGACAGCTTTGCTGGATAAAGTATTCTTGGCTGGCAGTTTTTTTTTTTTCTTTCAATACTTGGAATATATCATGCCATTCTCTTCCAGCTTGTAAGGTTTCTAGAGAAAAATCTGCTGTTAGTCTAATGGAGATTCCCTTATATGTGACTTGTTCCTTTTCTCTTGCTGCTTTTAGAATTTTCTCCTTGTCTTTACATTTTGATACTTTCACTATAATGTGCCTTGGAGAGGGTCTTTTTGGGTTCAATCTTTTTGGGGACCTTTGAGCTTCCTGAATCTGGATGTCCATCTCTCTCCCTAGACTTGGGAAGTTTTCAGCTATTATTTCATGAAATAACTTTTCTATGTCTTTCCTGCCTCTTCTCCTGCTGGAACTCCCATAACATGAATATTTGTTCGTTTAATACTGTCCCATATGTCCTGTACTCTTTTTTCTGTTTTTCTCTCTGACTGGATTATTTCAAATGACTTGTCTTCAAGTTTGGAAATTCTTTCCTCTGCTTGAAAAAGTCTATCATTAAAGCACCTGGAGTGTTCATTCTTTTTTTATTCTTTTTTTCTGTTTTTCTCTATGACTTTATTATTTCAAATGACTTGTCTTCAAGTTTGGGAATTCTTTCTTCTGCTTGAAAAAGTCCATTGTTAAAGCTCCCAATTGTAGATGGTATTTCTTTCTTTGGTTCCTTCTGCTCCAAGATTTCTCCTCGGTCCTTTTTAAAGACCTCTGCTACTTCATGGACCGAATCTTTCAGATCACGTAATAATTCCATTAATTCATTGAATTACCTATCACTACTCTCTTGTATGTTATTGAATTTCCTTATAATAAAAATATAGAATTCCTATTTAGACATTTCACAGATTTCCTTCATTGCGGGGTATGTTGTTGGAGTATTATTGTATTGCTTTGGGAATGTCATGCTAGCTTGTTTTTTCAGGTATCTTGTATCCCTATATTGATGTTTGTTAATCTGGTGAATAGTTGTCTGTATCAGTTATTAAAGGATGGTGTTCCAGGTGAAAAGACTCTCTCCAGTAGTTGTGTCCTAGGATGCCAGTTGTATAAATTATGTTGGCTTTGGCTCTAGCTAGGCACAGTGGTATAGTAGTATCCTCACCTGTAATCAATATCAGTGATTACTATAAGTGATGCAGTGGTCTCGCTGGCTGTTTTTGGAACGTGACAGGTGGGGCTTTTCAAGCAGCACAGTTGCGTCTACACTCACTCTCCCAACCTGATTCTTGAAGATGCAGAGGGTCAGGACCTCTCTGAAACTGAGCTGTGGGAAGGATTGCTCACTTTGCCATTTCCATGGGACATATAAGTATGTGGGTGAGGTAAGGCTGCTTCAATAGCTCTTTGTGCTAGTGGTTTTGGGACAGTGTGTTTGCCCAGCTGCTTCTGGACAACTCAGGTGGATATGGTCACAGGATGGCTTTGCCACAACCTGTGTGGGGGATGGTACAACAAAGACTGGACTTCTCCCCTGTGGTAATTCAGCTGTGTGGCCACCCTTGGTCACTCCCTAAATTGGATTCAGGGTTATAGAATTCCTCTGTGGTAAAATTCAGGTGTCAAAGGTGTCAATGGTACTGCTGAAGGTTTCTTGCTTATTCTTTCCCCAGAACAAGAAGTCCCTTCTAGTTCCTAGTTGATCTTGACTAGGGCGATAGGGCAGGAGATACTGAACGCTTTGCTCCCCTCTCTACAAAGCTTTCCTGAGTCTCTGTGCTCTGCAGTGTCTCTACCACACTCACACTGCACTCCAACACTCTCCCTCAAACACAGCAATGAATATCAGTTGCTTATTCTTTGTTTTGGTCCTTTTATCTTGAGAGGGAAATATGTTAGGCATTTCTAGTAGCCATCTTGTGAAGTTTTTACAAAACGAAATTCTTTGAACGTGAAGCGTTCTGCCAGTCAGGCAACTGGAAAGATCCCAATTTGTATGTCAACAGTCTTCCGTGAGGTGGGTTAGAAAAGTGATTTCACATCCAAATTCTAACTCTGGGACAAGAGGAGTCCAGGGGGATATAAACAGCAGAAACTCACTAACCAAGGACAAGATGACTTTCAAAGGATCCAGTATGTCACAAAGGGGAGCGGCTACTGCTGCGATTTGTGGATGGGCACGTAGCGCAGTTGTTTGAATTTCCCTTGGATTATAGAGTTACACAATATAGGAATACAAAGAGAAGTTGAGGCCACCCGGTTAAACTCCTTCATTTTATGGATAAAGAAACTGAAGTAAAGTGTCTTTTCTTTTTTACTGAAGTAAAGTGGCAGGGATGGACTAAAACCAGGTCTTTTGATTCTTTAAATATGGTTAGTTTTCTCAAGAAATGTAGTCTGCTGTGCTCCATCTACTAAGAGCCCTCTGGGTGCACATTCTCTTGTGAGGCAGTGTAGCAGCAGGAGAAAGGCCATCCCTGCAAACCTTATGGGGTCCCTTTCTGACAGAAGTGCCCTGAACTGGAAGCAGGAGATCTGAGTCTGATTCTTTAGCCTAAGCCAGCGTGCAAGACACAGCAGCGTGCCGGTGCTTCCCTCACAGGACCTTGCACTGAGTGTGTGCTGTGGAGCCACCGTGGGACTGCCTGCTAGCCTTTCTCTACTCTGGGATTCACACCTGCTTAGAACCTGCCCCATGTGGCAGTGCTGCCACTTTCCCCATCCTTCCCCTACTGTAGACACCACTAATCCATTCTGCTGGTGGTTCCAGTGGAGCCCAAATCTGGTTTCCAAGGCCTTCTCAAGATAGCTCTGTAGGCAGTCACTTTGGATAATCCAGTCAGTGTGAGAAAGGAGACTTGTTTGTAATCCTGCTTCTGAGTGAACTTATGTAAACACGATTCTAAAATGGACTTACAGATAGCGCTCACGAGACCACTGGGGTGGAGAGAGCACGGTCAGGGCTACTGCAAACACGGCTACCGCTCAGGGCTGGGCTGCCCCACAGTTGTTGTTTTGTACTGCCTTTTATTTTGATTTGTCTTCCTTTCTTTACTATTAAACATTTAAAAATCCTTTCACGTTGTTCTACATTGCATGGGCCCTAATGACCAACATTCAGGACATCTCTCAACTCTCTTTGTGGCTTTGGGGCTTGTTTTAGTTAGTCTTTTCACTTACTATTTCTGTTATATGACTGAGGCCCTGGTTTTGCACAGTGCATGGAGATGGCTTTTCTCCACCTTAGCAATTACAGATTTATCTATTCTATGAAAAGGTCCCCAAATGTTAGGCAATTCAAAAGGCAAATAATATGGCTTAGAGTAATAAAGCTTGGATAGTGGATCTTGTTTGTTGATAAGAAAAGAGTTGGCCTTTTTACCTATTCTGGGATCTATTAAATAGCCCCTGGGGCTGGAATTCCTATCTAAGTGGGCATTCAAAATCAAAGGACAGATGTCAACAATACTAACCAGATGGCATGCCTAACTATCTTCCTTGTCCATCTGCAGAAGGTTTGCAGTCTGCATCTTGGAAGGCTGCTCTGCCCAGCCCTGAGCAATGCTAGGTAACTTATCCCTGCTAGGTTCATTGCTGTGAACCAAACTGAATGGCGTAAACATTTGGCTATGTCCTTTTAACATTTAGTAGAACTGTGATTAGGAGAAACAAGACAGGGTGTCTCTAAAATCTGTCAAGTGGATAAAAGATGATTTATTGAAATGGTTCCATTTGCCTTTACTGCCCTCATTCAGTCCATTAGCGAGTGGCACAGGCCACCTCACGGCCCTATCTCTGGCGTTTGCTGGCTGCCAACATTCAGGAAGGCAGGCCTCTTTAAATCTGAGTAACTGAGCCTCTGGATTAATAGTATTTCCTTAACCCAGACACTGTTAATAAGAGTCTGTCAGCATTTCCATTACGAAAAGATTAATGAATCATATGACAAATTGCTAGTTGCACTAATGCTCTTGAATGTGCTTACTTTTTCCCTTGAGGATTATTTTGGGTAAAGATTTCTTCTCTTATGGTATTTTTATACAAAACTATATACTCCTCCACTGTGCAATAGAATATTCACTAATTCTGTGTGGCTATTTAAATTTAAATTAACTAAAAAGATTAAAAATAAGTAAAAGACCTAGTTTCTACAAAAATTAATTCCTCAGTTGCACTGTCTACAATATCTCAAGCGCTCAATAGCCACATGTGGCTACTGGCACAGGTGTATTCCCATCGTCATAGGAAGTTCTTTGAGACAGTGCTAACAATGGCTCAGTGGAATTTGGAAGAGAGAACACGGTCTTCTGAGTCTTATGGGCATGGATCCAAATCTCACTCCTCCTACTAAGTAGCTGGATGATTTGGGGGAAATCATTTGCCTTCCCTAAAGGCTTAGTTCCTGCATCTGTTAATGGGGTAATTCTAGCTGCATGGCAGGGGAGTTGTGAGGAGTAAATGAGATGGTCCTTCTGAGAGCACCTGGCATTAAGTGCTTAATCAATGTTAACCTTCCTTCCTTCTTCTGCTCCTCCTGCCAAACAGCCTATTTCTCTCTCTCTCTCTCTCTCTCTCTCTCTCTCTCTTTTTTGGAGAGAGATTTTTGCTATAGGACATGTGTGCTATGGGACAGTTTTGTTTCTTCCATACACATTGCCTTGTGTCTCACTCCTCCACGCTCTCAGTTATTGAGAAAAAAGAAATGAATGGCTTTGTCACGATCAGTATTATTTGTTACTTAATAAGACACTTAAGTTTCAAATGAACAATTACATTATAAATCATTCATTATCAAATTTTAGTGGGGATCAAAATCACCTGGCAGGATTGTTAAACTAGATTGCTGGGCTTGTACCCAGAGTTTCAAGTTCTGTAGGAGGTTGGGCAAAGGCAGGTCTTTGGATGTGCATCCAACTTCCCAGGTGCTGGTAGGCAGCATCCTTGAGTAGTGGGAGCTGAAACACCTTTATAGGCAAAGACCAAGTTGTCGGTATCCTTGGGTGATACTGATATATTCTTGTGTCCACAGCACATTCATTTTTTCTTGGAGAGGTTTTTGCTATAGGGCGCATGCACTCACCAGAAAGAGAGAAACAGAGAGTCAAAAAAAGCGAGAAATCACCCCCCAGGGGGGATGGCCATGCTGCAATCCCTTCTCTTCCATTCTTCTCTTGGGATCTTGGGCATGCACTCACACATGCTCGGCATGAGTTTAAGCCACTGGGTCCAGGACTTGAACTGCGATCGACTACATGGGAGTCCAGCAACATAGCCATTACGCCAACTGCTGGTCCCCACAGCACATTTTTGAGAGTATGAGAGGTTTTTTTATTACATTATAAAAAAGAATTTTTTTTTATGGATAACAAACATATCCTGAATTTTCCAGTGACCGAAATTTCCTTTTACCAGGTTTCCATGTTTTAGAGTACAGTTTATTATTCCGCATAGAGAAACTTACTAAAATCAGTAAAAGAATCCTAGCACTGAAGCCCCCCCATGCTCACCATTATCTTTACATGGCTCATGTCTCTAGGCTGTGCAAGGTCACAGAAGCATGTGCACCCTCGGGCCCTGAGAGCCAGGCACTGGCAGGAATGGTGTGGATTGTGAAGGCGTATGAACTACAGTATTATGGGTGGCAACCCAGAGACACCCACAACAGTAAGTCTACCTTTTTAGAAGACACACACTCCTTTGGGGTCTCCCCAGGACAATGCATTTCAACTCAAACTACTGTATACACTTCATGGACTCTACAAAACCCATCAGGTAGTCTTAGAAGTCCATGAGCCCGGACTACAAACTGTGGATGTACACATCTACCAGGTCCCCATTTCCTCCTGCTATTGAAAATCTGCAGCAGATCCTTCCTGGTATTCTCCTCACACCTAGCCCTTACACGTGACCCGTTTAAGAATTTGTTTTTATTATAATAGCATTGCAGTAAATAAAGTGATTTCATTCTCAAAATAAAGCTGATTTGACTCATGCCTATTATGGATCATAGATGACCACCTCAAAGCCAAGTGCAGCATTAATGTTGGCGCCTGCTTCTGCACTCATGCTTACAATCCCATTATTACCGAGCTATTTCCAGAACAGGCAACATCTAACTTTTGACCCAATGTTTTACAAACTGGGTTCTCTGGAGGTTATGGGACATACATAGGAATCGGGAAGTTCCTGTGTTTGAGAAATAGTGGACTGATGGAGCCCTAGCAAAACCAAAGCCCTATTGGTGGTTTTCACAGGTGGTATTTGAGTGGAATAATTCTTTTCTGTTGAAGATAATAGTATTGCTGGGCTTTACTTGTTAAATACTCCAGTGCTCTGGAGTCATGGTGTTAACCAAAACCATTGGCAAACATTTTCAAATCTCCCATGGGGGCAGTACTGCTCACTTTTGGGTGAGAACCTTTGAAGACCTATAGACCATCAGGTTTGCATGTATAGCCTGATCTTCGCCCTTTCTGTTGTTATAATCCCTATTCCTCTTTCCTGTTACTCCCAGGCTACCTCGCAGAAACGCATCATAGCTCATCTTCAGGGCGTGTTTTGTAGACAATCTTCACGGTCTACCATTTGGCCTGTAGAGGGCAGCAGCACCAACAACTTCCTGGTTGCATTTTAAGTAAGTGTGCAATGGCATCTTTCTGTGTTCCTTCTGTCCCTCTTCTCACCTTGCTCTTCTTTTTGGCAGTCACATCTAAAAGAGGTAATTTCAAATTGCCCCTGTTGCTCTGGCAGCTGATGTCCAGGACAGCAACAGAGTGCTGGCTGGAACCTGCCTGTCCTTTCAGCATGGGTTGTGGGGAATGTGCCTCTCTCCACAGCCAGGACATCTGGTAATGCTCAGTGACTGTAGGAGGTGGCTGTCTGGGAAGCCTGTGCCTACTGCCCACTTCTCAGACTTCGCTCACATATATCCTCTATGGCTTTCTTGCCCCCAAAATGCCTCTTCCCAGAAGAATCTGAGTCAGTTTCTTGTCATTAGATTAGTTCCTGCCCAGTTAAGGCTGACATCAATGCTGCTGATAGAAAAGATTACATTGGATGGTGGGAAAAGTCATGACAATTTTTGGATAGAAAAACACGTTGTGATATCTTCCGATGACCCAGTAATTCTTATCCCTACCCTAACAGGCAAAGGTCAATAATGAACACCTGGAGAGAATGCTGTCTGGCCAAGCAGAAGAGATAGCTCTATTTTGGCAACTCATATCCTCATCCACTCTAACCTACATAAAACAATTCTTTTGAGGTTATAGATTGGGAAAGTGAGGCACAGGGAGTTTTAACTCGCCCAGCCAGTAAGTCGCAGAGCTGGGATTTAAACTCATCTGGCTTCTTAATCACCTTTGTGGTTGCTTATTCTATAGGACAAGTCATGTATTTGTAATGCATTTGTCATCCTCTGCAGACTGTGCAGACATTGAGGACAGGGACTGGGGTTTATTCTCCTCAGTACCCCGGGGCTAAGTCCTTGTATCAGGTGCAATGCAGGTCCTATATGCATGAATAAAGATAAGGTGTTCTATCTGGTCACTTGGAAAAACCTGAAGACGTAGTAGACTCCTTTTAGTGCCAGTTACAATTTCCATAGGGATCAGGGCCTTGGGCTAAACTTTTTTTTTTTTTTTTTTTTTTTTTTTTTTTTTTTTTTTTTTTTTTTTTTTCCCCATCCAGCACTGCTGTGGGTTAATAGCCTACTGTCTTTAATAGGTAACTCTTTATTGCTGTCATCTGGGAAAGCATACTGGTGTGGTGGCAGGGGGCACCAAAGGATGGAGCTGTTTTATTCTACATGTAGTTTGAAAAAGCCTCCAGATATTTCTGATACACTCTTCAGGTGAAACTCTGAGTTGAGAATCACTGAGCTAGAGAGATACTAAAACAAAATTGTTGGCAATAGCCCAGGGATCGACTGGGAATTTGAAGATCCTTGGTATACTCAGGGTCTTCCTTTTACCTCTATTTTACCAATTTTTCTGTTGCTGTAACTGAATCCCACAGACTAGGTAATTTATAAAGAATAAAGATTAATTTAGCTAACAATTTTGGAGGTCCAAGTCAGGTGCCACATCTGGTGAGGGTCTTTTTGGTGGGTACTCTGCAGAATTCTGGGGTGGCACAGGGCATCCTATGGTGAGAGGGCAAGATTATTTGTTCACTTTGGTCTCTCTCCTCCTTCCTTTAAAGCCACCAACATTCAATCGTGGGGGTCTTTTCTTCATGATGTTATCTATTCCTGGTCACCTCCCAAAGACTCCATATTTCCATGTCATGGCGGGATTGTTTTCATCCTCTTATTACCATCACAATACCAACCGAACTTTAACACATCAGTTTTTCCAGGGACACATTCAAACAATAGTAACCTCTCAGTCTTTTATAAAGACTATCCCTATATCAGGCCAAAGGAAATGAGTAGTATTCCTTTTCTTGTGGAAACATTTTTTCTTTTTCTTTATTTCTCTGAAGTCCAGTGGAGCTGCTACTGCAATCGATTGTAATTTGAGTGAGCTCCTGAGATAAAACAGGGAAGTTAGAATGTTTACAACCTTCTCTGACCTGATTCTATTTGAAGGACATAGGTCATTAGCTTCTGGCAGTAGACAGAACTATATGTGTACATTCCAACAGTTTTGTGACCCAATTTGAACATAACATTTTTTTTTTCTTTTTGTGGTCCCTGAGGTGATTTGTATTTACTGGAAATTCTATTACTAAACCCCAGCAGCCAAAATATTTTTGCTCTTTCTACACATTTCTCACTAATTAGAACCAGCTATTATTCACTTTCTGGCTATAAACCTAATGGATTAACTTAAGCCTTTTTCCCTCCCATTAAAATTTTTTTTATTTAGAGATCCACCAGATGGAGTAATGGTTATGTTGCTGGACTCCCAGACCTGGTGGCTTAAAAAACTCATGCCAGGCACATGTGCATGTATGCCCAGAATCCGGAGAGGAGAATGGATGAGAAGAGATTGTGGTAGGGTCATTCCCATGGGGGGTGATTTCTTGTTTTTTTGTCTCTCTCTGTCTCTGTCTCTCCAACAAGTGTACACCCCCTATAACAAAATTCTCTATCAAAAATTTATTTTATTTTATTTTATTTTTCAGAGAGAATTTGCTATAGGGTGCATGCTCTTGCTGGAGAGACAGAAAGTGAGAAATCACCCCCAGGGTGGGGAGTGGCCATGCCACAATCCCTTCTTCTCTATTCTCTTTTTGAGATTTTGGGCATATATGCACATGTGCTCAGTGTCATTTTCAAGCTGTCAGGTCTGAGACTTCAACTATTGTTAGCCATGTGGAAGTCCAGTGACTCAACCACTGTGCCACAATTTAAGCCTTTTAAATGAGAAGACTTCTCATCACAGTTCTTTAGCTACTCTGTAAGTAAGTGGTAAATCCGCAACTCTAAGATTCGTGTATGTCATGATTGAATGTATAAAATATCCTTGACAACATGGGTTCCAAGGTGATGCATTTTGGCTATTGCAACAAGAACTGTTAACAAATTAAAAAAAAAAAAAAGATAATATCCAGTACTGCTTAGTAGTGTTATCTCAGAAAAATAAAATTGTCTATTTAGTCCTCATTTTCCTCACTTATAAATTAGGCTAGAACATGGCAATTAGATTTGTTCTTACATACCAATGTGATTGATTAGTAGTGGCTGCCTAAAAATGTGCTACTGAAAAGTAGAAAGAGAAATGGTGCTGAAATTGATTGTCAATGTCTGCCATGGGTGATGGAGCAGGAGAGGTAGAATTTATCAAGTGCTTGCATACTCTGGGTTTGCAGTGTCTGATGTCTGTTCCTGTAGAAATACACAGCATGCAATTAATATTCGAGCTAGCCCCAGAGACAAGCTGTCCAAGTAGAAGTTTAGTATTTCAGTATGCTCATAGCAGGTATAGATCACCAAGGTGATCCAAAAGATTTGGTAATTCTGGGGACTTTTTAATGTCCTATGTAAGCCTTACACCTAGACTGACCTAGAATCCTTTTTGGACATTGTTAATAACCAGGTGAGGCTTTTAGTTTCAAGTTGCCTGGTATATTGCAGGAAGAGGGAGGTGGGGGACTGAGATGACATCTTTGGTTTTTCTAATGTATACACAGTACTATTAGAAAGCTAAGACAGTATTATTAGAGTGCTAAAATAAATGACTAGGATGCCTGAAATTTTTAGGCTTATGTATTCAGACATCCCAATAAGGACCCATTGAAGAGGTTTTCTGAATCTTGTAACTTGTTCAAAATCCCATGAAGTGGGGACGAGGGAGCTAACATACAGTGAGCTTAGGACTCAGTATGAACCAGACACTTTATGGAGTTATGACTCAGTTAAGATGTCCAATGACCCCCCTGGGAGTAGTAATAGAGCAGTGTAGTTCCATAGGCCGGGGATTGGTAATGTAGTAGCCTGATTTGTGATAATTATATCTCGATATTAGAAGAGGATTATTCTTCAGCAGCAAATATTCATTGAGTAACTTCTATAGGATGAGGCCAAGAAAGTCAGTCTTCCTGACAGTGTGGACTCTGACCACAGCATGCTTTATATCAAGACCTCTATATGTTTGGCAGTTGTTTCTGCATTTGAACCCCAGTAACTTGGCATGTCAACTAGGGGGTGGGTTTTATTTATTTACTTTTTCTTTCAAACATTAATGTTGAAATGTTTTCAAGATGATTGCCTATATAAATAATTATAGGGGAATAAAAAAAGAGTGTTTATTTATTTAATTACCAGTGGGTGCATGCACCTGCCAGAGAGTAAAAGAGAGAGAGAAAGAGAAAGAGAGAGAGAGAAAGCAAAGCACTCTTCACTTAGGGCATGGCCACACTGTAATCTTTTTAAAAATCCATTTCTCCATCCTGTCAGGGTTCTGGGCATGCATGCACATGTTTCTGGTGTGTCTATCAGGCTTCCAAGGTCAGGATTTGAACTGTGGTTGGCTAGGTAGGATCTGGGTTCTTATGCATAGCACTTAACTACTGTGCTATGGCTTGGTCTGCTAGGGGGAAGTTGATGTTATTAAAGTTGGAAGTGCTTTTTTATTTTTTTGAGAGGTTTTTGCTATAGGGCGCGTGTGCTCGCCAGACAGACAGAGAGAGACAGAGAGACAGAAAACGAGAAATCACCTCCCAGGGGGGATGGCCTCGCCGCAATCCCTTCTCCTCCATTCTCCTCTTGGGATCTTGGGCACGCATGCACACGTGCACAGCGTGAGTTTAAGCCACCGGGTCCGGAACTCGAACCGCGGGAGACTACGTGGGAGTCCAGTGACATAGCCATTACACTAACTGCTGGTCCCTGGTTTTTGACTTTTTTACTTAGGTTTATCCTTAGGTGTCTTATACAACTTGAGGCTATGGTGAAAGGGATTCCTTTCTTTTTTTCTTTTTTTTTGAGAGATTTTCGCTATAGGGCGTGTGCGCTCGCCAGACAGAGAGACATAGAGACAGAAAGTGAGAAATCACCCCCCAGGGGGT